CATTGTCTGCTGTTTTCTTGTGGTCTCTTAAAGGCTGTCTGGAAGTCTGCCTCCTCGCTGTGCAATGGTTGGTATCATGCCCTTGTTCTCCTGTACTCCCTTCGATAAACAGGCCGGAACAAATCCAATTGCAATCCCACCTGCCTCGGTTGAAACAACAAAGCATTCTTCACTGATGCCGGTATGTTTCAACGCGTATGAGCCGCAATAATGCCCTGAATCGCCAACAACAGAATCACACAATTTCAGTCCCATGCTGCGCCGCACGTGATTGCCCGGTCTCGTCGGACAAGTATGGAGCACACTCAACACTGGTCATTTCACCAAAAATAACTACTTTGGAGTTCTAACGGACGTCATCACTGGTCTGTTATTTCCCACGGACAAAAAACCGTCTGGGAAGGAAGTGTCTGTGTTGATTACTCTGAGACTGTGGTTTTACCTCGCGCATGCTGTTCTGCGTTATCGCCACTGACGCATCCGAGGGACCATCCAAGTACATCCGGTCTCACTATCATCCTCATCATCTGTACATCCTGGTCTCACCATCATCCTCATCACCTGTACATCCGGTCTCCAGTAGCCTCTACGGATATGGTGCCTTGCAAAAATACAATCACACGGACACTGAAGTAAACAAAGAGATCCATAAAATTGCGCTTGAGTCAAAGACATTCAACCCGAAGGCGACTAGTGATATGTTTATTTTATTTCGTTTTCAGACATGCCGTAAGGAATGACGCAGAGGATACTGCTTGTGTTAGCTAGAGCAATATCCCAGGCGGTTGGCCAAGTCAGGGGGTAGGTATTCGTCATGCCATTGCATGAGTCATAATGGTACTCTAGATCAGCAAACTGAGCCACATGGATCCTCTTGCTTTCGTACGTCTTTTCAAAATTCTTACTAGAACCATAAAAGCGCAACCGCCTCGTATATAAAATAAACGTGGAGAACGACCGAGTGATACATGAACAAAATGAAAGCATTCTGCGACTGTTAGTGCCATACCTAGACAACAAAGCTTCTCTTTGTCGCAAGACGCCAGTCGACGACTAGCGGTAACCGTGTCGAAGGATGTCAGCACTTTCCAGCGATATACCAAAAGACACCATATTTTATGGTCGCGCCGTCCTTGAGGCATCCGGGCACCATTGTGTTCGCCGATCGACCCGAGTAATGGGATACATTCGAGCACTTGGTCACGAAGGACGAGACTCGCCGTGTCAGCGTTCCGTCACGCAGCGTTTTAGCCGACGGTTAGCGTGTCCCTGTGCACCCCATCCCCTCAAAAGTGCGCGACGTTTGAGCCAAGCAGAACCGACCGGGACGTCCCGGGACGTCGAAGGGAGGGGAGCGGGCACCTCCAGAGTGCACGTCCCTGGCGCCCACAGGAAGGAACGGGGACAGCTTCAGAGTGCACAAGCGTGAAGCCCTATCGGCTTCTGCCCCAAAGCTCTCGTTTACCGACTGACTTGAACCACTATCGCATTTCGTCTTGGTCAAACGGCAAAGCCTTTCCTTCTGGCAAAGCTTTCCCGTTTTACCTCGCTTTGTTTCTACACGAAGCATCACTGAGAGGCACCTAAAGCGTCCGAGACATAAACCCGCCGTCCTGCAGTCGGAGTGTGCTATCGACTAGTGACTGGTGAGGGCCGGCGGCCGCCAAAGACGGAAGCTTGCCGGCGCCCAGCTGCGGCCGGTCCCGGACTACGGAAGCCGGCCGGCCCTCAGCTGTAGGCAGCCCCGGCCGACGGAAGCCGGCCGGCCCCCAGCTGCGGGCAGCCCCGGCCGACGGAAGTCGGCCGGCCCCCAGCTGCGGCCGGCCCAAGACGATGGACGCCGGCCAGTCCCCAGCTGCGGTCAGCCCCGGCAGACGGAAGCCGGCCGGTCCCCAACTGCGGTCAGCCCCGGCAGACGGAAGCCGGCCGGTCCCCAGCTGCGGTCAGCCCCGGCAGACGGAAGCCGGCCGGTCCCCAACTGCGGTCAGCCCCGGCCGACGGAAGCCGGCCGGCCCCCACCTGCGGCCGGCCGCGTCCGACGCCGGCGGCGGGGCCGGCGGCCGCGTCACGCTCGCTGTGGAGGCGGACCGCCACTGCGCGCCGCGTATCTCAAATGGTCGAACCGAATGTTTGGGCGATGGCAGAAGCGGTCGGTCTGGGAAATTACCGCACCGAAACATGTTCAGAAAAGCTGCCAAGCCACCGCAGTCACTGACGCTTGCCCTCGGATTTTGAAATCGTGAGTGCGTTGTCGTCATGGAAGAACCCTGAGCTTAATCATGGCTGTTGTAAAACACGATTAAAAGGCACCGGTGCTGTCTAGCCTCAGGAAATGCTTCGGAAATTACGGAATCCTGAACGCACGATCAAGGCCATCAAGGTCACATACCTTGCCAAAGCCTCGACTTGGGAGACCCAAAATTATCATATATAGTAATAACACGAATTTCTGAGCGTCACCAACTGAAATCGTAGTGGAGGCAAGTCACCCGTGCTCCACAATTCCGGTGCACTCGCCATGGCGGCGGTTCACCTCATTCAACCACCATGCGGGGTGGAGGACGGGTGCGTGCCGGCCAGCCCGCCAGACGGATGCGGGTGGACCGAGTACCAATACGCCGCCAACACAGCTCGGCACCAGGCGCCTCCGCATAGTATGAGAAAATGCGTGTTGCATTAAAAATAGCCTTTGAAATATACCGCAACTTTGACGCGCGCTTGTGAACTCTTTTATCAGCGTCTATGAACTTAACACATGTGATAAAACGTCTGGCTATGTGGGTGCGGTGAGCTCAGAACGCGCTGCTGTTCACCAGTATGCCAGTATGCTCTGACACGTTTCAGACCACGATCTTTTGCGTTCCAAGGCGGTCTTGTACTGCCTGATTATGTTCACCTGCCAGCCTTACCAGCTAGATGGTTGCTGACGTGCCTTTGTGGTGTTACGCCATGTGTACACCTCCACTGACAGCTTATTTCTTTCGGCTGACGTCACCCGTCGTGGGGTAGCCACGTTTCGTAGGTGGGGTGGGGCAAATCTGGATTGGAAGGGTCAAATTGGAAGCAGCCTGCGGGAGGGGTTCAAACGGGGGGGGGGGGTAACTTGATCTGATATGACTTTATAAATGGAACGACATGAAACACGCGGGTTTAATGGTCAAACTTGAAAGGGACAAAGCCCATGTTGGGAAAATTGGAAGGCATGATCTCCCCAACCCACCCATCCCTCCCTCCTCCGTGATATCTGGTGACAAATGAGCGTTACCAGCTAGACACTAGGTAGCTGATGACACATGAGTGTCACCAACTACAGATGCTATTACCTGTCACCTGTGGCTGGGTATCGCACCTATCGGTGACATTTTAATGATAAACAGAGAGTCTCGTTTTAACCGTTGCAACTTCTGAGTATGTCATGCCATTGCCTTTCAACACATGTACTTTGCAGCAGCTTAGTCTCGCCAAATGAATTGGGGGGGGGGGGCGAACAATGAGAGATGGCCGAACACCGTCGCTGGCCCTCTCTCAGGAGGCCCCGCCACCGGCAGGGCGGCCAGAGATAAAACAGCGTCCACTCGCCCACGAGCCTGGGAGACTGATATCAACGCCTGTCCAACATGACAGGGGGCTGAAATGCTCCTATTATTTAAAGTTATGTTTCACATGCTATATCACAAAATGAGGAATGTGATGAAAAAATCAGTCCGTATTATGAAAAACGGGGATTCAGGACGAGGGCTAAGGAGCCAGGTGATACCATTTGTAATTTGTATTTTGAGGGAGATAGGCGTAAGCCTTTTGATCTCTGAGAACGGTGATAAGGACAACCGGGGCCGCACACCCAACGGTGATGAGGACAATCGAACCCGCACACCAAACGCTGATGAGGACAACCGAAGCCGCACACCCCACGGTGACGAGGACAATCAAAGGCGCACATCCAACGGTGATGAGGACAACCTGGGCCACACACCAAACGGTGATGAGGACAACCGGGGCCGCACACCCAACGGTGTGAGAACAACCGGGGCCGCACACCCAACGGTGTGAGAACAACCGGGGCCGCACACCCAACGGTGTGAGAACAACCGGGGCCGCACACCCAACGGTGATGAGAACAAACGGGGTCACACACCGAACGTCGACGCCACCGTCGGCGGGCATCACATCTCCGTTTCCAGCAGGTGGTCAGCTCAGCATGACGTACTGCAAAATCGAGAGGTGCAGCCTGTGGTGCCACAAATATGACGACTTAATCCTGATGTGCACTTCAATTGGGAAAATGAAAATGCCTCCACTGGCTACAGCGCATACCAAGCAACCAGCCTCCAAAGGTTATTGCCGGTCTCCTCGAGGTCCATTTCACCCGATATGTCAGCGGAGAGATTATCTTCCACCGACTCAAAGTTGTGACATGTGTTGCATTGACCCAACCGTGTATGCACAAGATGTCTCTGTCTCACAAGACTGGCTGGCTCTCTGACCTCCATAAGACATGCATGACGACCAGCGGCGATTGTCGAATACCTCCTGAATGTCTGTATTAAATGTTGCCTGTGGTAGGCAAGCAATTATGTAGCATTACAACGGTCTGTAACGGCACACCGGTACTGAAATACCGCGTATCGACTTCGCCTCGCGCATACAAAATGCCACTGTCTCTTAAGACCGTCTCTCTGATCTCCACCAGTCATGCAAGGCGACAAACACCGACCGTCCAATATCCCCCGAACAGCTTCTTCAAACGTCTTCCGGGACTGACAAGAACTTATGGAAATAGCGATAGCCAATGACGCGGCATGAGCGATCCCTCCTGATCTCCGCGCAGGTTTGGACGGAGCGCGCTGCGCATCCGCCCTCCACCGGTGGTCGTGTAATTGATCGGACGGCGCTGCCGAGGCGTGAGACGAGACGAGTGCGCCAGATCGGCCAGCGATTTATCGTCCTGTTTACAGGCGGCGCGACGCCGGCCCGGCTGGCGCGCGCCGCCGCCGCCTTACCCTGCTGGGGGGAGGGGTGAGTCGGCGAGTCGGTCTCCGCGTCCCACTCCCGGACGGCCTCGTAGATAGGACTGGCGGCCGGCCGCCGCTGCGCAAACACGGCCGCCAGCCTGCTGAGGAGCACCGTCGCCCGCGCCGGACCGGCGGCGCCACTGACGTCATGCATGCCGGCGGAGTCCCGCCGTGGACTCGCTCGGAAGCTGCCGGTGACGGGCGCGCCTCGCCGGCTGGTCCAGCTCCGGCGTCTTCCGCGAGCGGCGGTTCAGGCGTCGGGTTGGCACAGAGACGCGAGGGCGGAGCTGGCTGTCCGCGCAGCAACACGACCCGCTCGCCGACCACTGTCGGGGCGGGCTCCGCCAGCCAACCGCGGCCACTGAGGACCCGTGTCTCACGCACCTTCTCGGATCACGATGCGAGTGACCGCCTCAGCGCTGCCGAGGCGTCGCTGAGTCACCGATGTCACCGCTGAGTCACCGACGTCAACGCCAGCCGGGCCCGGGTGCGTCGGCGGGCGCCGCAGCGTCACCAGCGCGCCGCTCCGGCGACCGTCGCGTCTTCACTGACCAACAGCCTTGACTGGCGCGGCGGCGGTCGGCGCCGGCCGGAAGGCGGCGCCATTAGGCGCAACCGGCGCTCCCACGCTCCCCGCCGCCGGTCGGCCGGCCGCCAGAGCGGGTCAGGTCGCCGCCCCCCACCGGTCCGACGCGGTCGGCGGGCGACGTTGTCGCGGCTTGTGCTGGCGCTCGGAGCGGGCGCATGCCGGGCGAGCCGGTGCTGCGCGGTCACTGCAGCTGGCCTCTGTCGCCAGCCAACTGCTGTGCGCATGCGCCATGTCGTCGGGTCGGCCGGCACACCCAGTGCAGGCTTGGTGGGTCAGTCAGGTGGTCAGTCCCGACAAGTCGTCTGCCCAGTCCGTCTGAGCACGACATCACGGTTCATGTCAACCGGTCTGCGGACGCGCCGACAGCTTTTTTCCAAAGTTCATAAATCCAGAGCCATTGCCGTGTCTGATGCACTCGTGACTTTGATCACCTTAGACGTCACGCCGAAGACAGAAAGCTTCGTAGAGCCACACGGTCTGTTTTCAGAAACAGGGTCAGTCACTTCAAATAAGGCGCTGCATACAGATGCTTTTGGCTAATCCAGCCCGTCCGGACATACCGCCAGATCCAAGAGAAGGTACTTCTGGTGGTCAGCGCCGGCCGGGACGGGACGTCGGGTCAGCGGGCCGGGGCGGCCGGTCCATCCGGACACGGCACCGGCACATCCGACCAGGTCCGGGCCGGTCTGGTCACGCCGGGCGGAGGACCACATCAGAGCCGGCGGCGCGCGTTGAGGCGCGCCTGCCGAGGCCGGCCATCAGATAGGCGGCGGGGACGGCGCGCCGCCGTTACAGATCGCATCGGACGCTGAAAGGGCGCCATTAGCGAACCGTTCATTACCGTCGAACGGGCCCGCTGCGACCCTGAAGTCGGCCGACGTCGCCCAAAAGTGAATCTGTTATGTCGTGGAGCGCGCCGGTCCGGCCGCTGCCCAGCCCGCCTTTCCCAGGCGCCCGGGTCCTGCGGTCTGAGAGGCGCCGGGCGACCGGACGAGGAGCCCGCCGCTGGGTCTGGCGCCGCGTCTGTCCGACGTCCTGTCTGCCCCGCCAGTGACCCATCCGAGTCACGGCCGACTAACTTGGTCACAACTGAACTAACCGATCACAGATGAGCCGTACCGATCCCTGTGAGTGCACACATCACGCAAACACAAGTCCAGTGGCTGGGTTCGTCCGCGGGCTGCTGGGAGTCCAGCAGCGGCATGACGCGCCTCCTGACAGTCACGTCGTGTTCGGCCAACCATTCGTTTGTCCGCGTTTTCCGCGGAGGCGGCGAGCCTGGAACAGGAGTGGCCCGAGCATCCCCTCCCCTACTCCTGCCTTCTCCAGTCGAAGCAGGCAGTGCCGGCAACTTGCCGAGCGACTGAGTCGACCGAGCACGACCAGAGCCGACCTCCTGCCGCTCGGCACGCGAAGGCCGTGCAACACCCGGCCCACCCACAGAGGGAACAAACCTGCCCGCATAGGCCAAAGCCCACCCACATAGGCCACAGCCCGCCCACATAGGCCACAGACCGCCCGGATAGGCAACCGCCCGCCCACATAGGGCATGGTTCGCCCACACAGGGTATGGTTCGCCCACATGGGGCTCAGCCCACCCACGGAGGAAACAGACCGCCCGTATAGGCCACAGCCCCCCACATGGGTTACAGCTCGTCCACATAGGCCACAGCCGCCCACATAGGCCACGGCTCGCCCACATAGGGCACGGTTCGCCCACATAGGGCATAGCCCGCTGAATAGGTCACAGCCCACCCACTGGGAGCAAATATGATCCAGAGCCCACAGACCAACGAGGGAACACAGCCAACGTCCGGAGCACGGTCCACCCAAAGCAAGCATATCCCACACACCTAGATAAACAAAACTACCCACAGAGAGTACGATCCATCAATAGAACGCAGAGCCCACCCCTATAAAGGGAAAACTGAACTCAATGAACAAGTCAACCAAGGGAGAGCGTACACTCACCCCAAAAAGAGCTAACTCCCCCCACAAAAACCACACGCACCTAAAAGGAGCTACACTCATCCAAAAAGAGCTCCACTGACCTCAATCACCCAAAAGAGCTATACGCACCCCACTCACCCCAAACAGAGCTACACTCACCTCCAGAGAGTACAGATTGCTGACAAAGCAAGACGTAAAAACTGGGTAGAGGGCAGCGGTAGCTTCAACAATGGTACAACCTGGCCTTCGTTTGACCCTTTAGCTTTGGACTTAGTGCTGGGCCTATGGCCCTACAATACCGGTAAAGTGATCCGATATGCATTTTCGCCCTGCCGACAGTGTGTGAGCTGCCACGCCATTGCCCGCCCAGGGACCACAAGGCTGACTGAGTGCAGCCTGGCAGGGCCCGGCGGCCGCCAGAGCGCCGTTGGTCGGATGACCCGGCTTCCATGCTCCGCGGAAATAATTCAAAACGGGCGGCGCGCCCAGCTTTGTGGTGCGGCGGAAGGCTCCACCCGCGCGTGGCGTGCCCACTGCCCGTTTTTGCTCGGCTTGATAGTGAACCAGTCCGTACTGAGAAGGCAGCAAAAAGCTGTTATCGGCGGCGCTCGAGCGCCGGCAATGTCACGTCTCTGGGCTCGCCTACACCCTGCCAGCCTCCCGGCCTCATCTGCGCTCTCTCCCTCTGCCCTGCTCCCACCGTCGCCGCCACGGCCCGAGCCGCCGTGTTCTGCCTCCTACCTGGCCACTGGGCAGCTCTCTGGCGGGCCGACAGATCCCAGCTCTCACCGCCTCGCCCGCCAGTGTTCTGTGTGGACTGAGACAGCTGCCCAGCTCGCCAGCCAGGCCACGCTCGCCTGTGGGCCGACCGCCGCCGAATGCGTGGCGTGGCCGGTTGAGCCATTCTGCGCTGGCGCAAGATGGCTCAGCGCGCGCCATCCCTTTGCCCACCGTGAGGGAGGGATGGCGCGGCCGCCAGCTAAGCCATCCTGCGCTGGCGCTCCCGCTCTGCCCGCCGTGAGGGAAGGATGGTGCGGCCGCCAGCTGAGCCATCTCGCGCTGGCGCTCCCGCTCTGCCCGCTGTGGGGGAAGGATGGTGCGGCCGCCAGCTGAGCCATCTCGCGCTGGTGCCCTCCCTTTGCCCGCCGTGAGGGAGGGATGGCGCGGCCGCCAGCTGAGCCATCTCGCGCTGGCGCTCCCGCTCTGCCCACCTTGAGGGAGGGATGGCGTGGCCGCCAGCTGAGCCATCTTGCGCTGGCGCCCTCCCTTTGCCCGCTGTGAGGGAGGGATGGCGCGGCCGGAGCCAAAATAGCCGGCCTTGCATGAGCCGGGAATTGGACTGGTTTGTTTGCGCCGCTTCAGCCACGGCAAGTGCTTGACGCGACGCCCCACACAGTGTACGCTCCCTCAAATCGCACCTATTGGACTATGAGCAACCCATTAGCTGCCGGGACGCGTGCACCTCCACGCGGTTCCGTATTGCGTCACATCTGCCAGAAATGGGCCGGCAACGGCCGCCAACGGCAGCTCACATCCCCTACGTGCTTACAGTGTGCCACCATCCGCTGCCAGAGCTTTGCTGTTGTCTCGCCGGTGTACCAGACGGCGACAAGAAGCTTATTTTCCGGAGAAACGTGACGCAATCAATTCGGTCCGGCCGATAGGCAGGACATGGCATTAGTCTTTTATCCATTATTCAAAGGCCCTCCGCATAGAACAGCGACAAGGTAAAAGACTTTGACGGGCACCCCACCGCAGTCAGATGAGTAATACCCGCGGCGATACCACGAACAGCACTGCGGACGTGTTGTTCCTAGAAATTCTTCCTGGCCATTGTTTGGGAGATTTCCGCCCCGAAACGTGGCGCCAGGAGAGTCGGTGCACGACCTTTCACTTAGGAATGTAAAATGTTTGTCGCACAGGACAATGGAAGAAGTCAAATGGGTCACTGTGTCGAAGAGACATCGCAACGGTCCGAGTGCGCAGCGCTTCGGACCACACAAGACCCGAGTGCGCAGCGCCTCGGACCACACAAGGCCCGAGTGCGCAGCGCCTCGAACCACACAAGGCCCGAGTACGCCGCGCTTCGTACCACACGAGGCAGACGGTCCGAGTGCGCAAGGCTTTGGGCCACACAAGGCAGACGGTCCGAATGCGCAGCGCCTCGGACTACACAAGGCCCGAGTGCGCAGTGCTTCGGACCACACAAGGCAGACGGTCCGAGTGCTCAGCGCCTCGCACAAGGCAGACGGTCCGAGTGCGCAGCGCCTCGGACCACGCGAGGCAAACGGCCCGAATGCGCAGCGCCTCGGACCACACAAGGCCCGAGTGCGCGGTGCTTCGGACCACACAAGGCAGACAGTCCGAGTGCTCACCGCCTCACACAAGGCAGACGGTCCGAGTGCGCAGCGCCTCGGACCACGCGAGGCAAACGGCCCGAGTGCTCAGCGCCTCGGACCACACAAGGCAGACATCCTGGGAGGCTGCGTGTCTCGCCCAGGCGCAAGGAAAAGCCACGCATCGTGTGGGCCAGCACATCTGGATCAGACCTCCTACAGCATCTTCGGGCCCGACTGTTTTGTTTTTAGCGCAAGAGCGGCGGCAGGGCGTCCGGGCGGTGTTGACGGCGTCGCCGCCAGTCGACTGCGCGTGGGGTCGCAGCCCGGACGCACTGACACAGGCGGTCAAACCCGCCGAAGGAGCAGGCAACGGCGAGATGCGAGATACCAGGCGGGGTGCCGCGGAGAGGGGAGGGAGA